TGTGGATGTCATCTCCCAGAATTCCTCAGGCAGCCAAGTTGCCAAGGTTGGACATCCCTGTTCTAGTTGCTGAGTCTACTCTTCTGACTTGAATGAACTTCCTCTTTCCTATGTTTGAATAGAGTTTGCAGTATCGTTAATTCCTGAGTAGTACCTGAGCAGGGGTTGGACTAGGACAGTGGTGGCGAACCTATGGCACGGGTGCCAGAGACGGCACTCGTAGCCCTGTCTGTGGGCACACGTGCTGTTGCCCCAGCCTTGCCTCCCTCCATGACCCCCTCCTCAGCAGCAGTCCCCCTGGAGGAGAGTCGGCCCTGAGTGTGGCCCATGCGGAGCAGCGCAGCCAAGGACATGGCAGCCAGGCAGTGTAGACAAGAATCTGCCCTCATGCCCCATCGTGCACAGTTGATGTTGCGGGGCGTGGGCAGAGGGCATGGCGCTGCTGGGCTGCCTGGGCGATCTGCGGCGGGCCCTGGAGGCGGTGAGTGGCCCTGCGGGCAGGCGGGATGGGGCCAGAGCAGGGGCGGGGCAGGGGGTGGAATGGGGCTGGGGCCAGTTTTTGGGCACTCAGTCTCTAAAAGGTTCGCCATCAATGGACTAGGAGACCTCCAAGGACCCTTCCAACTGTTATTCTATTCTGTTATGTCCTTAAGGATCAGCAGAAACCGGGGCGATATTTTCTTTCCCCTGCTCCTCACCATTATCCATTTTCTCATGAATTTCACAACTCAAGTCTCAGGAGAATTCATTCCAGTCCATTTCGTAATTCTCCTCTCCAGTTCAGGACCCAGCCTGAGTTCCCTTGCTTGTGTTTCTCAAGCACGCTGGCTGGAGAATCCGGGGAACTGAAGTTCACCCATCTTAAAAATTGGTACAGTCAAAAAAACCCACCCTGTGTCAGCCTCACACACAATCCAGCTTCCCATCGGCTCTCTTTCCGCCTCCTCCCAATTTAAATCCTCCATCTTGAAGTGAGCTGCACCCACACTATTAATTAGTTGGTTTATATTTCATGTTTCTAAACCGCCCATCCACCTCAAAGCTATTTCATCAAATCTGTGACTTGGAAAAGATCAGAAGAGGGTCAAAGCTGGTGTAATGGTTTACGGTTTAGAATTAGGTATGAGCCAGGACACTACGGTTGGGTGAACAAACTGATGTGTAGCCATCCAGATCAGGGTTTTTCAGGTACATGGACTTCAACTCCCAGAATTCCAGCTTAGATATTGCTGAGAATTTGGGGGCTTGAAGTCCACACGTCTTAAAAGTTCCCAAGATTGAGAAACCCTGACCTAAATTAAGAAGTTCCTCCACTTCTCTAGGGATGGTTGCCAGTTTCTCTCTGGGAATATTTGTGAGAGATTAGCACCTGGCTGTCAAAGGGAAAGGTGAGATAAGTCCAGAAAGCCACCTCCGGATGGTCCTGCAATATGTAAGCAAACAAGATAAGGGTCCCTGAACCCTTTCCTGCCTCTGAAGAAACAATCTCTTGTAAAGGAACTGTCTAGCAAGTCTTCTTATCTCTCTGACCTTCTTCAAACTCTTTCTTCAGATTGTGTCAACAATCTCTTACCAAGGGGAAAGACTGGTGTGTATTCTGTCTAATCTGCTTAGGCCACCTGTTCACTTTGAAGCTGGTTTCTTTGCTATCCCTGACAGTTGGAAATTCCTCTCCAGACACCTGCATGAGAGTTCCCACGTCAAATCTTTCCCCAAATCCATCTTTTCTAGGAAGCGCTTGACTGTGCTTATTGGAAAAAGTGCTACCAGATATAAGAGTATCTTCCAATCTTTCTCCTATGGCAGGGGTAGTCAACCTTGGCTCTTTTATGACTCGTGGACTTCAATTCCCAGAATTCCTGAGCCAGCTTAGCTGGCTCAGGAATTCTGGGAGTTGAAGTCCACGAGTCATAAAAGAGCCAAGGTTGACTACCCCTGTCCTATGGTGTCTTCAGAGCTAGATTTATTAGATTTAGAGTATTTATTTATTTATCCTACTTCTATTACTTTATAAATAACTCAAAGTAACAAACATAACTAATACTACACCTTCCTAGTTTCCTCAAATCTACCACCCTGTCAGGTGGGGTGTGCTTAGAGAGAATGAGGTCTTAAGGTCACCCGGCTGCTTTTCATGCCTAAAGCAGGACTAGAACTCACCGTCTCCTGGTGATTGGCCCAAAGTACCCCAACTGGCTTCATGCCTAAGGCAGGACTAGAACTGTCTCCTGGTTTTTAGCCTGGTGTTTAACCACTGGAGCAAACCGAGTCCATACGCTCCAGATTCGTTATCCCAAGCAATATTTGAAATTTTACACTTTAAATTTTAATTAGGAAGTTAATTAAAATCTTGTTATCCTCCTTTAAGGTTTTAAAGCCTGACTTTACCTTGGACAAAGGTGTAGATGAGTGTGTTGTATAAGGATTGACAACGACTGTGTTTGTCCTCAGATGTATTTGTTTCTGCTGTGTCTTGTTTATCTATTTTTAACCTGAAGTTAACTGTGCGGAGCTGATGCCTGGAATCATTTTTAAACCGAAGTTAACTGCAGGAGGGCAAGCATATAAATGGATTAAATCGGTCAACAAACATGAAATTTCGGCCTGCTCGGTTGCAAAGCGCCCACTTTTGTTGTGGTGTTTATTTTGAAGGGTGCCTTGAGGGCTGAGCACAGAAATAGAATAGGCAGATGGTAGGAATTACAATGGTGTGAAAGAGACAAAATGTGTGTCATTGTATCACAATGCAAACTCTAGCCTTTCATGTTTGCATTCTGATGTCAGATACAAGTCCTTAACTCACAGTACTTTGTGTTGTCTCCTCACAATATACATTTTGTCCCTTGCTCTCTGGGCTTTTTAGCAGCTGCCCTAATTCGAAAGTGGTTCCTTTCCAAGCATGATTTTCAGAAAATTCTCATTAACGAAATTTAATGAGATGAGTGATGGGACTGAAAGGATTCCAGCAACAAAACAATTTTCCTTTTAGAGCTTTCCTTTATATTCTGTTCTCCATGGTTCTTGATACTTACGCTGTAAGCCGCCCAGAGTCGCCTCGAATCACAAGATGGGCAACATATAAATTTAATAAATAAATATTACTGTGCGCGCTTGGAGCTTCATAGCAACTTTCAGTCTTTTAAAACGATATAATACAGATATCCCTCGACTTAGGACAATTGAGCTCAAAATTTCTGTTGCTAAGCGAGACAATTATTCAGTGAGTTTTGCCCCATTTTATGTCCTTTCTTGCCACAGTTGTTAAGTGAATCACTGCAGCTGTTAATAACACAGCTGTTAAGTGAATCTGGCTTCCTCATTGATGTTGCTTGTCAGAAGGTGGGATCACGTGACCCTGGGACGCTGCGACCGTCATAAATACGAGTCAGTTACCAAGCGTCTGACTTTTGATCACGTGACCCTGGGGATGCTGCAACGGTCGTAAATGTGAAAAACGGTCATAAGTCCCTTTCTTCAGTGCCGTTGTAACTTTGAATGGTCACTAAATGAACTGACGTAAGTCAAGGACTATCTGTATACTAGACAACGTGATCGGTTGGGTCATGGGTTCGGAGAGATTTCCTTACAAGATTCCTTCAATAGTGGCAGAGCCTAATCAAACCCCCTTTTATTCTTTTTTTCTTTCCTCCTGTTCCCAGATCCCCACCCCACCCCTCTGAAGCCCAGTTACTCCCTGCTGCCTCCCAAAGGTGCTTTTCCAGGAGGCAGCTGGACTCTGCTTCTCATCCCAGAGGCTTCTTCTGGACGGTCCCTGCTGCAGCGGTCCTCATCCCTTAATGAAGATATCTAGACTTCCACTCCCAGAATTCATGAGTCACCCATGCTGGCTGGGGAATTCTGGGAGTTGAAGTCCAGCCATCTTAAAGTCGCTCAGGGTGAGCAACACTGCTCTGGAGGGGCAAGTGTGTGTGTGTGTGTGTGTGTGTGTGTGTGTGTGTGTTGCCCGTGGAATTCTGGGAGTTGAAGTCCAGCCATCTTAAAGTCGCTCAGGGTGAGGAACACTGCTCTGGAGGGGCAAGAGTGTGTGTGTGTGTGTGTGTGTGTGTGTGTGTTGCCCAGGGAATTCTGGGAGTTGAAGTCCAGCCATCTTAAAGT